TGCATTAGGAGAGTGGGTAATTAGCTTTAATCCTCATTACTTCGAATTTGCCCTCTTTTGCTTATGATGTGTTTCAAGGTGAATGTGGTTTTGCTTGTTGATCGGAGGAATATTCGATTCTTGTAGCTCGTCGACGTGTGTTAGGGATTAATTTTTGCTTATCTTGTTTAAAGATTGCGACTTTGTTTAAAAGTGTAGTCATTTAGTAGAAAGCTCGATTTAATGACCTAGGATCACTTGACAATGTTGATGTCCCTCGGTTCTTTTTGTGTTTATTCGAGTGATAGAGACCCCGGTTGACCTAAAGCTCTCATCTTTGTTTTTAAGTCTTCACCTGCTTTCGATTTCCAATTGCGAGTAGTGTTTAATTCAAATCCCCAATTTGCGAGTAGAATGTTTAGGACCTTTTTGGTTGTGTGACTTTGACGACTAGGTAGTGAACGAAGCTCCGAAGAGCCTTCCTTTGAGAAGGACCCGAGGCCGGGTAACTCGGTTACCAATACCCAAAAATCTACTCAACAGAAACGCGCCAAAACAGGGTGAGCCTAGATGGGACCGTGCAGTCCATCAGTGGGGAATTAGTGCGGTCCACCAAGTGAAGCGCACCATAAGAGGGTGAACCTAGTGTACCTTAGTGATGTTTTATCGCAAACCAATTTGTAGTAGGAGGAGTAGCTCACTAGGCTCATATACTAATCTTATTTATCCTGTAAAATCAATGTGGGACAACTCAAAGTTATATTACAACAAAAATATAAAACTACTATAAACCTTTGTATATGTATACACAAATTTGTCCTTCCAATTAGTAATTATTGAAGAATTTCATTTTTTTTTTTTAAATTTTCATGTACTCACTAGTAGTAGTTGGTTCACACTACACCAATTTTACTCTTGAATCATATATAGGAACGTACATTAAATTACAATTGCACAAGAGCCTCTCAATTTTTTTCGCTATTATATATACACACATTGATCATGTTTTAGAATGTTACTGAATATTTATTATTAAATCCAAAATTTTATTAAAATTTCACATAGGATGCTTTTTGTTTGTCAAATTAAATTTAACGTGTTAGAATGGCCAATCAGAATGTAAAAATTCTTGGACAGCCCAACACAAGAAGTGTCAATGTCACACATTATGTAGCATGAGCTAACAAAATATGGCAGTAAACATTATAGACCAAATGCAGGCACCAAAAGCATGAATAAAATTTCAGAATCTTGCCAGGAATATATATATATATATATATATATATATAATATTAGGAGATGCTACTAGGGGTATTCACGGTCCGGTTTTAACCGAAAAAAACTGTCAATCCGGACCGCTGATCGGTTAAATGCTCGGTTAAAAAAACCTTGAAAAATTCAGTGGTTAATTTTTTCAAAATCCGGAATAACCAGTCCGGTTAACGGATTACCTGCGGCAAACTGCCGGTTTAACCAGACCGGACCGGTAAATATTAAAAAATTATAACAGATATATATTACATTAAGTCATTCACTATGGCCGACAAATACATACATTCACTTTCACTTTTTTACCTTTGGTTGACTTAATTTTTTAAGACATTATAACTTTTCACTTTTTCCCACCTTCGTTTTTTTATTTTCAAATTTTCCCACCTCCTCTTCCTAATTTTTGGAACGAAATGTGTATTTTTATACTTATGGGGCGAATTGTGTATTTTTTATTTCATTATTGTTGTTTTTCTTAATTCTTAGGCCCAACATTGAAAAATAGAAATTAAACCCAAAATGACAAAAATAAAAATTGATGACCCAAAACAAAGATTTTGGATTTAATCGGTTAACCGCCAAACCGGACCGTCCAATGTGGTCCGGATTGTGGCCGGTTGAAAAATAAAACTGGTCCGGTTATGGACAAGAAAAAAACTTAACAGTTAGGTCCGGTCTGGTCATGGTTTGGGCTAAAACCGGACCAATCCGGACCGTGAACACCCCTAGATGCTACTATCCCGGAACTTTTCTGTCGGGATTTGTAACCGTTGGATCAACTACCTCCGACGGTTACAACCCGACGGAATGGTTCCGTAACGGACCGTAACATTTTTCCTATTTTTTTTTTTTTTTTTTTTTTTGGAGTCTACAGAAAAGTGAAAAAGCAATTTCCCATTTTCAATGGAATTTGAATCAAGCCTCAAATCATATCTAAAGAACAAATCTGCAAGGTGCACACACACACACACACACACATACGTATGCGTGTTATTGTATGTGTGTAATTTTGTGTGTACTTTATTTATTTATTTATTTATTTTGTAGGTTGAGTGATTGTATCACGAGCGCGGCCATTTTCTGGCTACTTGCGCTTATTGGTATCAATAGTATGGCGTAGCTTTAGCTTTAGTTTTGTCTTCTTTTAACTTTTTAGGCCACTCACTCTGAATAATCACATGATGTATATCTCATTTTATTGATTTATATATATATCTGTTCCCTCCAACTCGTGTTTTTATTTTATTTTATTTTATTTTATTTTATTTTATTTTATTTTATTTAACATGATTAATAATTAATTCGTGGCAATTTTTAAAAAATTCGACCAGACTTTTTTTAATTAATCACTATTATCTGTTAGACTGATTAATGATTAGGCAGTCATACGAAACTTTTAAAATTACAATATTAAATTAAAAGTGAGAACAGGGACCAGTGGCGGACGCAGACGTTAAAGATAACGGGGGCACAAACTACAGTCAACGGTTAACGCCAGAAATCAACTGTCAAATCAATATTTAATGAATCAAAAAAAATAATAAGATTAAATTTTGACCAGACACATTGTTTCTTATTTATTAGTTAGAAATGAGTCTCACAATGTCATTTTAAGAATAGGGACTTTGATCCAATCCCTATATAATATTTACATTTATGTATAATATTTGGTTTTATGTATTTTTTTAGGAAAAGGGAAATAAACAAGAAGTTGAATATAACACAAACATAAATTCCACAACTTAAAAAATAAAATACTATTGAAGGTTAAATAATTTTAACATTTCTATTTTTTTTTATATTGAAATAACTTTGCATAATAATTAAAAACATGTATTTTTTATGTCAATATAATAATACATTTATATATATAACATATATATATATACTACTATATTACAAAAAATTCTACAGGGGCCCGTGACCCTACGGGCCCCTATGTAGATCCGCCCATGACAGGGACGTAATCGATTTTTTTTTT